ATGAAGACGACGTTGAGGACATCTCATTTTGTTGAGGATGTCCCTAGCGAAATGCAAATGCTCTGCCGTGCTCTTCGTTCTGGTCCGCCGTGCTGCCGCTCGTTGTCTGAGGATGTCCCTAGCGGAATCGCAATTCTTAACAGAAGAGTTAATTAAAGACTTCAGTTGTTATCTCATTTTGTTCGAGGATGTCCCGAGCGAAACGCAAATTTTCACAGACGGCGAAATTTCGCCGTCATCAACTGTTCGAGGATGTCTCGAGCGAAACGCTTGTGTTTGTTAAACGCGATGCCGAGAAGATTTCATTTTGACGGGGATGTCTCACGCGAAATCGCCATCCCGAGGAATCCGCTAAGCCTCTGCCCCGTGCAATCCGCCAACCCCTATAGTTAAGAGATCTCTTACTGATACGTGGAGGATTCAGCCAAAACGTCCAGCTCGCTTCTCGTTCCTCGAAGACGCTTCCCGTCATCAGGGAGCAACCCCGAGTCCTTCCCCCCTCTGCACTCCCCCCAGTTGATAAATATTTCCCTCCGGGTCTACAGCAACGTCCATCGCGCGACTCTTCGAGTCTAAGCGCGCTTCCCGTCATCCGCTAAGCCTCTGCACCGTGCAACCCGCCACCCCCTATAGTTAAGAGATCTCTTACTGATATGAGGAGGATTCAGCCAAAACGTCCAGCTCGCTTCTCGTTCCTCGAAGACGCTTCCCGTCATCCGCCAGGGTCGTCCGAAGGAGGTACCCCGAGCCCTTCCCCTCCTGGACCTCCCCAGTTGATAAATTTCCCTCCGGGCCAGGACCAACGTCCATCGCGCGACTCTTCGAGTCTAAGCGCGCTTCCCGTCATCCGCTAGGGTCGCCCGAAGGAGGTACCCCGAGTCCTTCCCCTCCTGGACCTCCCCAGTTGATAAATTTCCCTCCGGGCCAGGACCAACGTCCATCGCGCGACTCTTCGAGTCTAAGCGCGCTTCCCGTCATCCGCCAGGCCCCCGACCACGAGGCGGCCCCGCACGTTCCCCCTCCAGACCTCCCCCAGTTGATAAATAAATCTCTCTGGGCAAACAGACGTCCATCGCGCGACTCTGCGAGTCTTGGCGCGCTTCCCGTCATCCGCCAGATCCCCGATCACGAGGCGATCCCGCGCGTTTCCCCCCCCCCAGACCCCCCCCAGTTGATACTGCCTCTGGCCGAGAGAACGTCCATCGCCCGACTCTTCGAGTCCTAGCGCGCTTTCCGTCATCCGCCAGATTCGCGGGACACGTGGTTACAGAGATTCTTGGTAAGAGATTTATATCCGGGCCGATGAGCAACGTCCATCGCGCGACTCTTCGAGTCCGTGCGCGTTTCCCGTCATCCCTATGGGCATCACAGCGTCCATCGCGCAATTCTTCGAGTCTTAGCGCGCTTCCCGTCATCCGCCAGGCCCTTCCCCCCTCAGACTCCCCCCAGTTGAAAATTATCCCGGCAAAGCAACTCAACAGCGATGTGTATAAGCATATTTGGAAGCATTCCCTTTAAGATTCAGGTGAGAATCCAGTTGTAGAATTCTGTTGTTCTCGCAGTCGCAGTCGCATTCGCAATGACAGTCACAGTGGCAACGGCCTTAGGATCCAATGGAATCCTAAGGACTCCTAGGGATTCCTAAGGCATCCTTAGGCATCCTTAGAAATCCATAGGAATCCTTATGAAACATTAGGAATCCTTAGGAATCCTGATTCCTAGGGAATCCTGGGGATTCCTAAGGATTCCTGGGGAATCCTAAGGATTCCTAGGGATTCCTGAGGATGCTTAACTATGCCTACGGATTCCTAAGGATGCCTACGGATTCCCCAGGATTCCCAGGAATTCCGAAGGATTCATATGGATTCCTACGGATGCCTCAGCCTGCCTCAGGTTCAGCCTCAGCCTCAGCCTGCCTCGGCTTGCCTCAGCCTCAGCCTCAGCCTCAGCCTCAGCCTGCCTCGGCCTCAGCCTCAGCCTGCCTCAGCCTCAGCTCAGCCTGCCTCGGCCTCAGCCTGCGTCAGCCTCAGCCTCAGCCTGCCTCAGCTCAGCCTCAGCCTCAGCCTGCCTCAGCATCAGCTCAGCCTCAGCCTGCCTCGGCTGCCTCAGCCTCAGCCCAGCCTCAGCCTCATCGGCCTCAGCCTGCCCAGCCTCCCCTCCCCCCCCCATGGCCTCACCTTGTTCAGCTCGGCCTGCCTCGGCCTCAGCCTCTCAGCCTCAGCCTGCCTGCCTCAGCCTCAGCCTCAGCCTCCTCAGGCCTGCCTCAGGCCTCAGCCTCAGCCTGCCTCGAGCCTCAGCCTCAGCCTCAGCCTCAGCCTCAGCCTCAGCCTCAGCCTGCAGCCTCAGCCTCAGCCTCAGCCTCATCAGCCTCAGCCTCAGCCAGCCTCAGCCTGCCTCAGCCTGCGGCCTCAGCCTCAGCAGCTCAGCCTCAGCCTCAGCCTCAGCCTCAGCCTCAGCCTGTCTCAGCCTGCCTCCTCAGCCTCAGCCTCAGCCTCAGCCTCAGCCTCAGCCTCAGCCTCAGCGCCTCAGCCTCAGCCTCAGCCAGCCTCAGCCCAGCCTCAGCCTCAGCCTCAGCCTGCCTCAGCAGCCTCAGCCTCAGCCTCAGCCTCAGCCTCAGCCTCAGCCTGCCTCAGCCTCAGCCTCAGCCTCTCAGCTTCAGCCTGCATCAGCCTCAGCCTCAGCCTCAGCCTGCCTCAGCCTCAGTCTCAGCCTGCCTCAGCCTCAGCCTGCCTCAGCCTCAGCCTCAGCCTGCCTCGGCCTCAGCCTGCGTCAGCCTCAGCCTCAGCCTGCCTCAGGCTCAGCCTGCCTCAGCCTCAGCCTCAGCCTGCCTCGGCGTGCCTCAGCCTCAGCCTGCCTCGGCCTCATCCTCAGCCTCGGCCTCAGCCTGCCTCAGCACGGGCATTCAAAATATGGCACAGGACTGGTGTTCTGGGAACACGAAGATCACGAAGTGGCCCACAGTTGGCTCCGGGCAATCAAGATATTGTACAGGAATGGTGTTCTGGGAACACGAAGAACACGAAGTGGCCTATAGTTGGCTCCGGGCATTCAAAATGTGGCTTGGGAATGGTGTTCTGGGAACAGAATATGTAGGAATCCATAGGAAACTATAGGAATCTATGAGGGTCCTGGGGAGCCCCCGGATTTCCCGGATTCCCCCGGATTCCCCCGGCATCCGCCCAGACCCCCTTTGGGGAGTCAAGATGTTCTCTTTTGAGCCCACTGGAAACCTATCAGTCGCCGCTGTTAGGTAATATTTCCCTCCGGGCCGGAACCAACGTCCATCGCGCGACTCTTCGAGTCTATGCGCGTTTCCCGTCATCCCGCAGCCAGTCGTCTCTCGCGAGCTAGTTCTTCATGTGTTCGTTAAAAGCATGGACTAACAAACCCCCATCACCTTCTCGTTCCGAGAAGGCGCTTCCCATGATCCGCCCAGCTATCGACTTTTACGATCGACACCCACTTGTCCCTCGCGAGTTTGTTTTCTGTGATTTATACATTAGTCGACACATGCTAGAAAACTCCCATTACCTTCTCGTTCCGAGAAGGCGCCCCCCGTCATCCGCCAACGAAAGTACCCTTTGCACAGGGAGCCAGCTTTCCCTCGCGAGCGTTTGTTCTTTATGTTTATTCAGCACATGCGAGAAAACACCCATCACCTTCTCGTTCCGAGAAAGCGCTTCCCGTCATCCGCAGACCGACCCCCAATATGGCACCAGGGGACACTGGAACACTACTAAAAGATAACCTTGGGCCCCATCGTGTTCTGGAAAAAATCGGAGCAGAGCTCCGACAGTTTGTGTTTATGTCATTATTTTTTTTATGCGTCAACTTGCAACGCGGGCCACACACGCAAAAGGCATGCGAAGTTTCGGGAAAAGCAGTGAGGAGATCAGCCGGAGGGTGGTGCGAGGAGGGGCAAACAGTGTGATCCTCGCCCGAGCCGACTTATGCGGCGGGACAAGAAAATGGGCCAAGCGGGCGGGGCAGCCCTGTCTTGTTGGGATGAACACTGCTGTGCCAGGGCTGGCCTGTGGGTAGCGGTTGAGCAAATTGTTGTTTGATTTCGCGTGTCGTTTCCTCCCAGTTTATGCCACAAGCTTGTAAACCTTGTAGGGCAGCCCGTTTTCAAAGCGTAGTTCTCGCTTTGGAGCCGCGCGTTTTCGTCGCAGATTGATTCGCGGTTGCACGGATGGAGTGCGGGTGGTTTCCATAGGTCGCCTTCCGCTTCGACGCCGCACACATTCGCAAGGTTTCCAACAGCAGGGATGGCGAGCGGTACTTTTTCAAATGTGTGCCTTGGCCCTAGACTTCCCGGCAGAATGTTGCCCTGAAGCCTAGAATCTTCAACAGCGGGAAGAAGAGTGCTGCCTACAGTCAAGCATGATAGTAAGGATGGGGCAATTGTCCAAGGTTACCCTTGCATCCTTGCCCCTTCGGTATTCGGCATCCTTCGGCATTCTGCTGCAATCCGCACGGAAAACGTCAACATGGCGTTCCAAGGCCTTTGCATCCTTACCGCGCATCCGTACTATCCTGGTCGAGTGTGGCCTGCTTCCAGAGATCGAGCTATCGCGGGCGACTCCCTTGTTTGTCATGGCCACGTCCTGCAGCTTGACATGCCCCCGTGTTGCGAGGGCCCGATCCGCTCCGATGTCCCCTTTTTGGCCTGCATCCCAAACGACCTCCTCCTCATCCTCCTCCTCCTCCTTCTCCCTCCTCCTTCTCCCCCCTCCTCCTCCTCCTCCTCCTCCTCCTCCTCCTCCTCCTCCTGGTTCGGCCCGATGTTTGCCATTCTATCCAGCTCAGGCTCGGCATCGAAAATACAGCTCGCGGAAACTTGATTCTTCGGAGTTCCGCACGGATGTCTTGGATCTGCGCCGCCGGCTCATCCCGTTTGCGCAGAGGGGGCTTTGTCCGCGCGGACGTCCGAAAGTCGTTGTGTAAGCAGCTGTTTCATTGGCCACCGAGCACGGAGTGAGAGCGCCCCGCCGCCACAGGACGGCCACCTCTCCCTGTGCCTGGGCGCCGTGCACAGCGCCCCGCGCTTCCTGCTCGAACCGGTGCGGGCCGAGGAGGCGGGGGTCCGCCGGTTTGGGTCGGAGGTTGCCAGAAGGGAGGAGGAGGAGGAGGAGGAGGAGGAGGAGGAGGAGGAGGAGAAGGAGGAGGATAAGGATAACGATAAGGCCCTTGGTGGCCTGGATGTCAGCCACTCTACTTGCTCGACTGACCCCCTGGATGGGGGTACGGATGCAGGCCCCCGTCACCGCTGGCGATCGGGGCTGCCTGGTGCGCGCGGCCCCCGACCCCTCCTCCTCCTCCTCCTCCTCCTCCTCCTCCTCCTCCTCCTCCTCCTCCTCCCCCTCCTCCTCCTCCCCCTCCTCTCCTCCTCCCTCCTCCTTCTCCTCCTCCCCCTCCTCCTCCTCCTCCTTGGACGCAGGCGGACTGGGGTGACTGCCCGTGTAGGCGGGCCCCAGTCCGCTGAGAGCACTCTCCCCCCCCACACTCCCCACTCTCCCCCACCACCTCTCTCACCGCTGTCGGCACGATGCGGGAGCAAGAGAAATAAGAAGGATGGCTTGCTATTGCTGAACTGTGAGAGCTCGCCTGCTGCCAGTTGGCTACTCTCCGCCTTCAGTAGTTAGGCTCAGAGGCAGGAGAATGCTGGACGGGGTAGCTTATGGCGCTGGCAGGGCGGGCTCCGCGAAAAAAAAGCAGGCTGTTCACTGCTCACGACATGCAGCCCAGCGCCCACCCCGCCTTCTCTGCGACCGATGGGTCACGGAGGCGGAGGTCCCCGCTCGGGCTCGGTGCGCTCGGCTCCGCTGGAATGCCTGGCGGGGGTGGGGGCTGGAGCTGCAGCTGCGTCGGCAGCACCTTCACGTACGGCTTCCACCCCGGGATGCTCTTGCTGGGCTTTGGGCATTTGGGGCGCTGCTGCGTGCCGCTGTTGTGCTGCTGGTGCAGCCTGTCGAGACTGCTCTGGTCCTCCATCTTCACCTCGTCGTAGCCCCAGCCGTAGTCGCTCTCCGTCCACTTAATGTAGTAGTCCTCGAGCTCATCGATCTGGAGCCTCGTGTGGTCCAGCTCCCACGGGTAGGCCTGTTGTGGAGCCTGCTCTGGCTGCCGAGGATGTTTTCGACGCCGCGGCAGTCCTCGATGGCCTTGCTGCTCTCGTCGAGCTGCTGCCTGAGGAGCTCCACCACGTGGGTGCGCTCGATATCCTCGTGTTGGTTCGGGCTCTTGCTGGCAGCGATCCTCGCCAGGCTCAAGAAGGAGGAGGAGGAGGAGACGGTGGCTTCGTTGGACAAGGTCGGTGTGGCGAAACCTAGGGCCCCCCAGCCCGACCAGACCCCCACTCCAGCTCCACCTGAGGCGACCCGGCAGCCGCTCGCGGGTCACCCTTCCTGAACCAGACCTTCTCGCCATTCCCGAGGTGGAACCTTCCCCCCCTTGCCCCATGATGTTCCAACCTACTTTTAGCTTCGACTGCCCGGTATAATTTCGAGCACCAAGAGAGCATCGAGTCCGGACGATTTTCACGTGCGGGGCCCTGGGAGGCGATGCTCATTCGACATTTGGCCAGCGCGTCCGGCAGACACTGTTTCGGTATTTTCTGGGGTTCTCGAAATAATGTCTTGCATGTCAACCTAGAGGCCTCCTAGAAAGGGTCGGAGTAGATGTGGTCGGAGGATCGCGCCGCATCGACGATGCACCGGCGATGCATAGGCGACGCCAGCGTAGAGAAAATCGCACCCCTCATCGAGCCGCATCGCCGATGCATCGGCGATGCGGCACGATCCTCCGACCCCACCTACTCCGACCCCACCTGGGAGGCCTAGAGGACGTAAAGCACGATGGGAGCAACCTAACCCTTGCCAAGTCGATTGGCGAGCTGCTTTTGGTTCGGTCCTCGAGAGGGCGATGCGGCCGCGGCTTTGTGTTCGGGGATCTGCGCCCGCAGGGCCTCCGGTCCAGGGTAGCTTTTTCACTAGGGGCGGTTTGTCGGAGGGGGGGCTTTGACCACCCCGATTTGTGGCGGGGAGGAGGCAGGCGCTCAGGTATGACATCGAAGAAGAAAGCAACGACATAAACATAAACGTTTGACGCTCCGCGCGGATTTCTTGGATCGGCGCATGGGCCCCCCCTGGCGGCGCCTCCGGCGCCGCTCCTGGCGCGCTCCGCGCGCCAGGGAGGGAGGCCCGGCGCGGATCCAAGAAATCCGCGCGGAGCGCCAAAAGATTATGTGTATGCCGTTTTCTCTTCCTCTAGAGGAGGCAGGTTCTCAGCATGAAAGTAACGTCGTCGAGTGCGCGTCTGAACTTCTGTTGATGCTTATGGCGCTTCTCGTCGCCGCGGCTGCCCGCAGCTGCTGGGGCTCGATTTGGGCCGCGTGAGTTTCAGCGTGAAGGTTATCGAAGAGAACGAGAAACGGCGTAATTCACTGACTGTTGTTTGAGGTCCACGCAGATCTCTTGGGTCGGCGCTGACCCCCCCCGGCGGCACCCCTGGCGCCAACCCCAGAAATCTCCGCGGACCTCCCAACGTTTACGTGTGCGTATGCAGTTGTTGGCCAATTCGCTCTTCGGTGCCCCCGTCTAGCTCTATCGCTGGTGCAGCCAACTCTGCCCCGCCGCCGACGAAAAAGCGTGTGCAGTTGTTCGGTGCTTTGGGTGAGGGTTCCTGGGGCGAGGGGTCCTAGAGGGTGTTTGCCGTTCCCGGGCTCCCGGATGCCCCTCCAGGCTCGCCTCCGACGGATGCCTCGACCTGATCTCTGGAGAGAGGAGCATGATCGACCCACGAACCCGGACAGGGATTTCGCCTGTCTCGTCAGTCAGTTCACTGCGCAGCGGCGGCTCCTGTGTGGATGCCTTCGCGCTCGTTCACGATAGAAAAAGGAGCCCTGGCCTGTGAAGTAAATGTCCGAGCTATGTTCAAGACACCAAAATTGGGCGACGGGCAATTGCAATGCTCAAGGTAGCGATGGTGATGTACAGTGCCAGGGGCTGTGATTTGCTGTGCTGTGCTGTGATGAACCGAGACGCGCCATGCCGCGTCGAAGTGCTGTGCTCTAATGCATTGTGGATCAGGTTGTCCTTGGCGTCAGAATCCCGATCGAACTGATCGGGGTCTTAAGCTCGAGCTGCCTGAAAGCATAACGCAGGTCTGGCCGCAATCGGAACGCGCAGGGTGCTCGACCAGTTCGAGCTCAAGATCCGACTCAGCTTGGAAGCGGGACGAACCGAAAGAGGGCGAGTCTGAACAGTTCTGTGCTCTGTTGCGTCGTGGATCAAGTCTTCCCTGGCATCCGAATCCTGACAGAACTGAGCTGGACCTCAAACTCCAGATGCCTGGGCGCATTGCTCGCCCAGAACGGATTACAGTCGAGACCTCATGACACGTGCGACGTGCATGCCGTGCCGCGCCGTGTGCGGAACGTTCCAAGGGACGTGCGACGTGCCAGAAGGACGCGCTACGGAACGTGCCAATGGACGCGCCAGGGGACGCGCCGCGCGACGTGCAAGGGGGACGCGCCACGGAACGTGCCAGGGAACGTCCGAGGCGACGTGCCAGGGAACGACCTCGTGGCAGGAGCTCGGGACCATCGTGGGAGATACCCTCCTGTGTGGGACGTGGTTACAACACGCGACCACCTTGTTATACACCCACTGGGTGGCGTGAACGCGTGTGTGAAAAGCACGTGGTTCCAGCTCGGGACAACCATGTCAGATGCACCCTCTGAGTTGCGAGGGCACGTGACGTGGTTCCAGCGAGGGGCAAGAGGCAACCATCTTAGGTACCCACCTTTGGACGGCTTGGACACGTAGAAACACGTGGTTCCAGCTTGGGACCACCACGTTCGATACCCCCTGGGTGGCCTGCACACGCAAAACACGTGGTTCCAGCTCGAGACCACAATGTTTGATATCCCCCTGGGTGGCCTGGACATGTAAAAACATGTTGCCCCAGCTCGGGACAGCCATGTCAGATACCCATCTGGGTGGCCCGGACGCGTGAAAGCACGTTCAAGCTCGTCGTGACCTCGTCACGGCGTGACGGAGGTCTCGGGGTGATCCCCCCCATGGCGCCCCACAGCGCCAGCCAGGCGAAATCGCCGCGCGCGTGTGCAGGTGCTGGGCGACGACGACGACCCCGCCGTGAAGGAGGAGGGCGGGAGCGCCAGCGAGGCCTCGCTCGCGACCTCTGCTCGCGCGCTCGCTCGCCGTTCGGGTTCTGCCCTCGTCGGGCGGCGAGGGCTCCTCGCATGCACCGATCCTGGGCCCAGGACGGAATCGGAGAAGGGGTCTGTTTTCGAAGGAGAAGCAACAGCACAAGCATAAAATTTTGGCGCTCCGCGCAGATTTCCTGGATCCGCGCTGGGCCCCCCGGGGCGGCGCCTCTGGCGCCGCCCCTGGCGCTTTCCGCGCGCCAGGGAGAGGGGTCCAGCGCGGATCCAAGAAATCCGCGCAGAGCACCAAAAGGTTATCTTTATGAAGTTTGTGTTCTTCTTCCATGTTCAGCGGCTCGGGTCGGCCGAGTCCTCTCTGGTGGTACCAGATAGGCCCGAGTATACTGACCTGATTCCTCGTGCCCCGAGGCGGCAGCCTACTTCTGATCGTTCAAGGCAGTGCTCGGGCGGCCCCAGTTGCACTCGAGCTACGGCGACCAGCACTGACCTGGCCGTCGTTTTCCGGTGTCCCACCGGGATGGGTGTATGTGCTTGGCGCGCACGAGGGGGGCGGAGCGAGGTGGCTGCCTTCCTCAGAAGGCGGGGGGCTTTCTCAGAAGGAACGGGCCTTCTTAGAGGGCCCCGGGAGCTTCCCCCGACGAGGGTTTCTGACCCAGACCTCCGACGCCATGCTTTTCTCATAGCGTCGACCCCCAGAGGTCTGGACCCATTCCCCGGGACCGGCCTCTCATCCCGAGTCGTTTTTTGACGGTTCCGAGGCCCCGTGAGGGCCCCCAGAGGCCGAAAATAGCAAAAAATAGCAACAACGAAAAAAAAAACATAATCGACCCACGAATCCGGAAAGGAATATAGAAATATAAGGCATGGCAACGTTTTTCAAAGACATTTGATTGGGCGACGGGCAAATGCAATGCTGAGTGTAGCGATCTTGATGTACTGTGCCGAGGGCTGTGCTGTGCTGCGCCGTGCTGAATGGCGATGTGGCATGCCGCGATTGTGCCTTATAGCGTTGTGGATCGAGTCTTCCTGCGCATCCGAGTCCTTGCCGAACTGATCTGGATCGTAAGCTCGAGCTGCCTGGGCACACAGCAGCTGCCCCAGAGCTAATTGACAGGGGGGCACGCCAGGGGAACCGCGCCGCGGAACTTCCCAAGGGAATGTGCTGTGGACAAGCGTTTCGCTCGAGACATCCTGCCCAAATCCTCATGCTAGACATCCGCCTGGGCGACCTGGGCGCCCGAAAACGAGCATTACGCTTAACACATCCTCAACACATCCTTATGCTAGGCATCAGCCTGGGCGAACTGGCTACGTGAAAACAAGTGGTTCGCTCGAGACATCCTCAACACATGTTCATGTTAGACGTCCGCCGTGGTGACTTGGGCACGTAAAAGCAAGCCGTTCGCCCGAGACGCTCTCAGCACCTCCTCATGCTAGACATCCGCCTGGGCGACCTGGACACGTGAAAGCAAACGTCTTGCCTCCAGGGGGTCCTGGGTTTCTTGGTTTTCGATGGTTTTGCTGTGGAAGGCGTGACGTTCCCACACCAACATGATCGACCCACGAACCCGGAAAGGAATGTAGAAATATCAGGCATGGCAACGTTTCAAACACACCTAATTGGGCAACAGGCAAATGCAATGCTGAATGTATCGATCTTGATGTATTGTGCCGAGGGCTGTGTTGTGCTGCGCCGTGCTGAATTGCGATGTGCCATGCCGCGATTGTGCTCTATATAGCGTAGTGGACCGAGTCCTCCTGTGCATCCAAGTCCTGACCGAACTGATCTGGATCGTAAGCTCGAGCTGCCTGGGCACAAAGCAGCTGCCCCAAAGCTAATTGACAGGTTTGGTATCGTTCGGACGTGTGCACTGTTTCTCGGCGGGGATTATTAAGGAGCATCCTGGATCATCCTGCGAAGAAACCACGTAAGAAACCCGAAAAAAACACAGAGAATGGACGTCCGAGCGATGGCCAGCAGGGGGACATGTCAGGAGGACGCGCCGCGGAACGTCCCAAGGGACGCGCCAGGCGACGTGCCAGGGGACGTGCCATGGGGACGCACCGCGGGGACGCGCTACGGAACGTGCCAAAGCACGTGCCGCGGGATGCGCCAGGGGACTCGCCGCGCGACGTGCCAGGGGGACTCGCAACGGGACGCGCCACGGGACGCGCCAGGAAACGTGCCAGGTTGCAATGTTGAGTGTATCGATATTGATGTAGTTTGCCGAGGGCTGTGCTGTGCTGCGCCGTGCTGAATTGCGATGTGCCATGCCGCGATTGTGCTCTATAGCGTCGTGGATCGAGTCATCATTTGCATCCGAGTCCTGACCGATCTGATCTGGACCTTCAGCTCGAGCTGCCTGAACACATAGTAGTTGCCCCTGCTGAGTGATCTTGATGTACCTTGCCGAGGGCTGTGTTGTGCTGCGCCGTGCTGAATTGCGATCTGCCATGCCGCGAGTGTACTTTATAGAGTCGTGGATCAAGTCCTCCTTTGCATCCGAGTCCTGACCGATCTGATCTGGATCTGCAGCTCGAGCTGCCTGAACACATAGTAGTTGCCCCAGAGCTAACTGGCAGGGGGACATGCCAGGAGGACGCGCCGCGGAACGTCCCAAGGGACGCGCCAGGCGACGTGCCAGGGGACGTGCCATGGGGACGCACCGCGGGACGTGCCTTCAAGGGGACGCGCTACGGAACGTGCCAAAGCACGTCCCGCGAGACACGTGCCAAGGGACGCGCCACGCGACGTGCCAGGGGGACTCGCCACAGGACGCGCCACGGAACGTGCCAGGAAACGTGCCAAGTTGCAATGTTGAGTGTATCGATCTTGATGTACCGCGCCGAGGGCTGTGTTGTGCTGCGCCGTGCTGAATTGCGATGTGCCATGCCGCGAGTGTGCTCTATAGCGACGTGGATCGAGTCTTCCTTTGCATCCGAGTCCTGACCGAACTCATCTGGACCTTAAGCTCGAGCTGCCTGAGCACATAGTAGCTGCCCCAGGGCTAATTGACAGGGGGACATGCCAGGAGGACGCGCCGCGGGACGTCCCAAGGGACGCGCCAGGCGACGTGCCAGGATACGTGCCATGGGGACGCACCGCGGGACGTGCCTTCAAGGGAACGCGCTACGGAACGTGCAACAGGACGTGCCACAGGACGTGCCAGGGGACGCGCCGCGCGACGTGCCAGGGGGACTCGCCACGGGACGCGCCACGGAACGTGCCAGGAAACGTGCCAAGTTGCAATGTTGAGTGTATCGATCTTGATGTACCGCGCCGAGGGCTGTGCTGTGCTGCTCCGTGCTGAACTGCGATGTGCCATGCCGCGATTGTGATCTATAGCGTTGTGGATCGAGTCCTCCTTTGCATCCGAGTCCTGACAGATCTGACCTTAAGCTCGAGCTGCCTGAGCACATACTAGCTGCCCCAAAGCTAATTGACAGGGGGACATGCCAGGAGGACGCGCCGCGGAACGACCCAAGGGACGCGCCAGGCGACGTGCCAGGGGGCGTGCCATGGGGACGCACCGCGGGACGTGCGTGCCAAGGGGACGCGCTACGGAACGTGCCAATGGCCGTGCCACAGGACGTGCCAGGGGACGCGCCGCGCGACGTGCCAGGGGGACTCGCCACGGGACGCGCCACGGAACGTGCCAGGGAATGTGCCAAGTTGCAATGTTGAGTGCTTGGGCGACCTGGACACGTGAAAACAAGCGTATCTTCTGAGACATTCTCAACACATCCGCATGCTAGGCATCCGCCTGGGCAACCTGGACACGTACAAACAAGCATCTCGATCGAGACTTCCTCAACACGTTCTCATGCTAGACATCCGCCTGGGCGACGAGGACGCGTGAAACCAAGCGTCTCGCTCGAGACATCCTCAACAAATCATGGCGCTAGACCTCTGCCTGGGCAACCTGGAGGCGTGAAACCAAGCGTCTCGCTCGAGACATGCTCAAGGCCTGGGCACATGAAAACAAGCATTTCACTAGAGACACCCTCTGAATTCTGGTCCCCAGGAGAGGACCGATCTCTAACACGAAACATTATGAAAAACAAGCGTTTCGCTCGGGGCATCCTCAAGAATAATTTCGCCGGCCCTAGGCGGCCTCGTTAGGTATCGCAAATAATTTCGCCGGCCCTGGAGCCGTCGATTCTGGGGGTAAACCTCTAAAAGAGAACCTTGGGCCCCCGCCCTTTCCGGGAAAAACACGTGGCTCCAGCTCGGGACCACCACGCTAGATACCTCCGGGGTAGCCTGGACACGTGAAAACACGTGGTTGCAGCTCGGGACCACCACGTTAGATACTTCCAGGGTGGCCTGGACACGTGAAAACACGTGGTTCCAGCTCGGGACCACCATGTTAGATACCCCCTTGGGTGGCCTGCATACGTGAAAACACTTGGTTCAAGCCCACCCAAGGGAGATATCTAACATGCAGTCGTCTAGGGCGCCAGCTAGGGGCAGCCATGTTAGATACCCCCTGGGCGACATGGGCCCCTGAAAACAAACATTTCGCCTGAGACATCCTTTGAATTTTGACCCCCGACGAAGCCCCCGCTCAAGACATCCCCCAACTCTACAAAACCAGCGTTTCGCCTGAGATATCCTCAACACATGTGTATACAACACGCGTTTCGCTAGAAACATCCTCAGTTGTTCCACGCCGAATGGGATTGCATTGTGTTATCTATCGCAAACAATTTCGCCGACCGAAACCGGACACGCGTTTCGTTAGGGACATCCTCAATGTCTCCACGCCGAATGGGACTTTACTTGTTATTAATCGCAAATTATTCCGAAGCGGAAACCAAACACGCGTTTCGCTGGGGAAATCCTAAATTGTTCCACGCCCAATTGGATTTTGCTTTGTTATTTATCGCAAATACTTCCGCCGGCGGAAACCGGGGGCAAACAAAACTGAACGAGAACCCTCGGCCCACGTCCTTTCCGGGAAAAAACTATGGACGCCCTGGGGTCTCAGGGACTGGGTTTCTTGTGGAAGGTCTTCTTGTGGACTGGCCCTCCGCTGTGAGGACGAGCGACCTTCCACGGTTTCCCTCGAGTCCTTTCCCTCCGGCCTCTCCTTGGCCACGTTCGTTGGCCGCGCCCCGCTCGCAGAGTGCCCCTCGAGGCTCGAGGTTCTCGGGCGCGGTCCGTCGCTGCTCGTCGGGCTCCCCGCCTCGGGATGTGCGCTCCAGCGGCTGCGGGTCGCCGAGAGCGGTCCCCGGGAGGGCGCCGGGATCGTCCCGAGCGGCCGCGGGATCACCATCAAGAGCACCCCGAAGCCTAAGAACACGATGAAGACGTGGCCTCGCTGAGGTCCCCTTCGCTCGTCTAGCCACGTGGCTCAAGAGTTTGCGTGTCGAGACGCGTCTTCTTCAGCACGCAGGCGTTCGAAGTTTGACAGCTTTCACGTCCAGCACGGTGCCATGACGTCGATAGCGTCGGCGGCTGCCCGCTCAGTCGTCGCCGTCCTTTGCGTCTTCACAATAGCCGATGCCACAGTCAAGGACAAGTTTTGGGGATACCTCGACGAGATGGCAGGTGAGGGGAAGGAGAGAAGCGATGTGACCACCGTTGCAGAGATACTCGACCGTGGCGCTGGTGTGCAGATTGAGGACTGTGGCGGTAAGAGTGACTTGATGTCTACCACTCGCGCGGAGTTCGACCGGGCCCACCTCCAGGTGCGCGCCTACGGGGACCTCTCGAGCAACGTGTCAGGGGGGACCCTCCACGTCAAGCTGTACAAGGGCTCGGCTGCCGAAGGCTCGTCGACAGGAGTCAAGGGAGGAACATGATCGTCCCACGAACCCGGAAAGGAATTTAGAAATGTAAGGCATTGCAGTGTTTCCAAAGACACTTGATTGGGCGACGGGCAAATGCAATGCCGACTGTATCGATCATGATGTATTGTGCCGAGGGCTGTGCTGTGCTGCGCCGTGCTGAATTGCGATGTGCCATGCCGCGATTGTGCTCTGTAGCGTTGTGGACCGAGTCCTCCTGTGCATCCGAGTCGTGACCGAACTGATCTGGATCTTAAGCTCGAGCTGCCTGAGCACATAGTAGCTGCCCCAGAGCTAATGGACAGGGGGATATGCCAGGAGGACGCGCCGCGGAACGTCTCAAGGGACGCGCCAGGCGACATGCCAGGGGACGTGCCATGGGGACGCACCGCGGGACGTGCCAAGGGGACGCGCTACGGAACGTGCCAATGGACATGCCACGGGAGGTGCCAAGGGACGCGCCACGCGACGTGCCAGGGGGACTCGCCACGGGACGCGCCACGGAACGTGCCAGGAAACGTGCCAGGTTGCAATGCTGACTGTATCGATCTTGATGTACCGTGCCGAGGGCTGTGCTGTGCTGCGCCGTGCTGAATTGCGATGTGCCATGCCGCGATTGTGCTCTATAGCGTTGTGGATCGAGTCCTTCCTTTTCATCCGAGTCCTGACGGAACTGATCTGGACCTTACGCTCGAGCTGCCTGAGCACATAGTAGCTGCCACAGAGCTAACTGACAGGGGGACATGCCAGGAGGACGCGCCGCGGAACGTCTCAAGGGACGCCCCAGACGACGTGCCAGGGGACGTGCCATGGGGACGCACCGCGGGACGTGCCAAGGGACGCGCTACGGAACGTGCTGGGGACAAGCGTTTCGCTCGAGACATCCTGCCCAAATCCTCATACTAGACATCCGCCTGGGCGACCTGGACACGTGAAAACAAGCGTTTCGCTCAACCCCTCGTAAGTTACGCTGCGTCCGCTCTCCCTGGGCCACGATCCCTTGTAAACGACGCTGCGTCCGCGCTCCCAGGGCCGCGCTCCCTCGTGAATGACCCAGCGTCCACGCTCCCAGGGCCGCGCTCCCTCGTGAATGACGCAGTGTCCACGCTCCCAGGGCCACGATCCCTAGTGACTTACGCTGGGTTCGCGCCTCCAGGGCCAGGATCCCTCGTCAAATACGCTGCGTCCGCGCTCCCAGGGCCAGGATCCTTCGCAAATTACGCGGCATCTGCGCTCCCAGGGCCACGATCCTTCGTAAATAGCGGTCCGACCGCACTCCCAGAACCACCTGGGCATCCTGGAGCGCCCAAGCTTTTCAAGCGCTGCAAAACAAGCGTTTCGCCCGAGACATCCTCAGAGATCTGGCATGCAGGGTGCGCCATCCTTTAGCGGGCACGAAAAAGCCAACCTTCTTTCTACAAAACAAGCGCGGGACTCGAGACATCCTCGAAATTCTGGCGCGCGGAACGCGCCATCCTCGAGCGGGCACCCTAAAAGTCAACTTTGTCATATTTTTCGTATCCCAGTTGGGGCTCCATACCTCGTTATTCAGCATGGATTCTACGCAAAACGCTCCTCACCTTCTCTTTTACTAGGCAAACGGGGGGCCCGCGGACCCCATTAGGCAACGAGGATCCGAGATGGGGGGCGCACTTTCCTCGAGCGGGCACGCGCGAAACGTTTTTTTTCCACGCCGAATGGGACTTTACCTTTTCATTGATCGCAAATAAATTCGCTGGCCCTTTCAAGCATGGCACCCGGGACAGGTTGACCAACTAAAAGAGAACCCTGGGCCTTCCCCCTTTTCCGGGAAAAACCACCCGGACCGGACCATTGGCGTTTACTAAACGGCCTTTGGCGTTTACTACACGGTCCTGCTTTGTTTGATTTCTTCTTTGGGTGCGTTTACTAAACGGCTTCGCGTGTCGGGGTGGTTCTTATCGGTGTAGATTTTCTGCCCTCTGAGGAGACTGGGTGAAGCGTGAACTCGCATGGCACAGCGTCCCTCACGCGTACGAGGAGGACCTGTGCAGGCACCTCGGCAGAAGCCACAGCCGGCGCGGGTGCCCCCTGCCGCCCGGGCGCACGGAGCTGCGCCTCGCTCTCGACACGCTCCCCCCCATGGTGGTGGCCGGCGGCTACAAGCTGAAGATCAGGGCCGTCGATTCCGCGGGCAGGGCCATGACGTGCTTGCGGGTGCACGTGGATGTCCCCCGAGGCTTATGATGTCCCAACCTGCTGTTGAGTCAGGCCTGTCCCTCTACAGGGGGGACATTCAAGACTAGTAAAGCATCAGTCGGGGGACGATGTTTTGACTATTTCTGGACATGTTGGAGTATTTTCTGGGCACTTTTAATTCCTCGCCCAAAATACCCCTGTAGGGGGACACGCCCGAGCTAAACCTACTGTAGCCTTGATCACCAGGAAGGATTTCGAACACCAAAAGTTGCACCAAAGTTCGGGGGGGGTCACGCGTCGGGCCCTGGGAGACACTAGTCCGACACTGTTCCGACACCGTTTCGACACTCTTCCGGGTGCTCGAGATTATTTGTGGGATGCGGTCTTTCAGTAGGATGGGAGCAACATAACCCGAGGCAAGAGTGGCGAGTTGTTTCGCAGGGTCCAAGCGCTGCCCGTGGCACATGCAGGACGGGCTCTGATGTCTGGAGCCGAAAGTTGCAACTGTCCCTACTCAGACCCCGTATGTGGTGAAGACGGCCAGACGTACGACAGCACTTGTCAAGCCAGCTGTGCCAATATTGGAACAGCTTACTTGGGCGAGTGTGACTACCAGGTAGTTCGTGATGGGCGAGCCCTCAGTTCGTGGTGGACAACGACCGAACAGGAGCCAGACGTGTGCGAAGATGACGATGCCACCCTGGTTTTTATCGCCCAGCAGCTCAATATTTCCGGGGTCACTGGTTGCGGGGATGCTGCTGGCATGTGTTTCGTCAGCGAAGATGTTCAAGGCGTATGCTGCCAAACGTGTGCTGCAGCTATGACGGAGTGCAACGACTATAACGACGTACTCGGGATATTCCTCTCGCTTCGCGGGGTGCACGTCCAGAGCACGTACAATCCAGTCGTTGTTGTGCCTCGTGGCAGCCTTGGGGGCCTCTTGGGAGCCTCTTGGGGTCCTCTTGGGGCCTCTTTGGGGTTTCTTTGGGGCCTCTTGGGGCCTCCTGGGAACGTTTTGGGCCGTCGTGAGGCGCTCTTACGCCGTCTGGCCCCTTCGGAGGCCATCTTGGAGGCCCCTCGCGGCCGCCTTGGGGCTCTGTTGGGGTCCTCGTTGGCCGTCTTGGGGGCCTCTTGGGCCGTCTTAGGGGCCTCTTTTGGCTGTCTCGGGGGTCGTCTTGGGGCCTTCTTGGACGCTGCTCGGGCCGTCATGGCCCTCTGAGAGCCGCAAAAGGCGAGAACGCTGAAATCCTCCAAAAACAAATGGAAAATGAATGATGTTGGTTTCTGGAGGCGCTCTTTGGGGTCCTCTTGGGGCCATCTTGGGCCGTCTTGGGGGCCTCATGGACCCTTTTGGAGCCATCTTGGGCCGTTTTGTGGCCGTCTTGGGCCGTCTTGGGGCCGTCAAGGGCCGTCTTGGGGCGCTTTGGAATCCCAAGAGGCCCAAGAGCCAGAATTTGCTGATTGTCCATACGTTTCCGTAGGGTTTGAGGCCCAGAATGGGGGGCCCAGATTTGGTCGACGGTGTGGCGCGGCTCCAAGGGTACGTTGCATTAAGGTGTTCGCCGAAAAACGTTACCATTCAGGCCTCGTGGCAGCCCCTTGGGGGTTTCTTGGAAGCCTCTCGGAAGCCTCTGAGGAGCTTTTTGGGCTTCTTTTGGGCCTCTTCGGGGCCTCTTCGGGTCACTTGGGGGCGTCTTGGGCCGTTGTGGGGCGCTCTTACGCCGTCTGGTCTCCTCGGAGGCCATCTCGGAGGCCTCTTTTGGGTGTTCCTTTGGCCGTCTTTTTCCTCTCAGGCTGCTCAGGGGCCCCCTTGGGGGCCTCTTGGGCCGCTTTGGGGCCTCCTTGGAGGCTGCTTGGGCCGTCATGGCTTTCTGGGGGCCGAAAAGGTGGAGAACCCTGAAAGCAATCAACTACCAACGGAACATCAATGATTTTGGCCTCTGGAGGCGTTCTTTGGGATTTTGTTGGGGCTCTCTTGGGCCGTTTTGGGGACCTCTTGGGCCTGGGCTGTCTTTCGGGCCCGTCTAGGGGCCACGTTGAAGGCTTCCTCGGCCGTCGTGGTCTTCGAGAGTAAAGAATTGGAGTATGGCGCGGACGGTAGGACCCGGCATGAGGATTTGTTCAGGCTGCTTGGGAGTATCCAGTTTTCTTCTAGGTCCTCCCGCCTTGTCATTATCCTCCTGTTATCCTTTCCCTCTCCTGCTTCCTGTTCCTCCTTGCCCCTACGTGCGTATTTTCAGTATGTTTCTTCCTCGTGTTCCTTTTCCTCCATCCCCCTCTCCGCTTCCTCCATTTTCAGTTTCCTCTTGTGTTTCTCCGTTGTTTACGTTCTTAATGTTCTCATTGTATTTCTTATTTTTCCTCCTCCGCCTCCCCTTCCCCTTCCTCCTCCTCCTCCTCCTGTTTATGCCTCCTGTTTCTCCCTCTACATATGCTCGTTATCGTATTTTTCTGCCCCTTCGTTATCTGCCTCTTCGTCTGTCGACTTCCTCCAGGCTCCTTCTGCTCTCAGCCCTTCTACTCCCAGCCTGTGGTGTGATGATGATGATGATGATGGAGATGCCAATGATGCTGACGACTATGGTGACGATGACGATGACGATGGTCAGGATGTTGATGTGTGCCACGCCGAAATAGGCATACTGGTTCGAGTACCCCCCAAGCCTGTAGCAACTATGGGCCGGGTGTATGCAAGAACTGCCATAAGGGTGGGCCCGATCGGTACCGAAAAACCGGCTGCAATGATTGGAAACGAATAACGCCCGAGGAGGAGGCCGAGTATAAGCGCCGCAGGCTTCTTGAACCAGCGGCGGAGAAGCAGGAGGGAGGCGACCAGAAGAGCAAGGAGGACAAGGACAGCGAGGAGGAGACGAAAGATGACGAGGAAAAGGACGATAACGCCCACGAGGAGAAGGAGATGGAGGAGGAAAAGGAAATTGACAAGCAGGTCGGCGCCGAGCAGAGGGAGCAGGAGCGGAACTCAGAGAGCTCGGACGATGCATCGTCGAGCTCCAGTCTCCCGTCCAGGGGGGAGCTCCAGCGCAGGCTGGAATCGATGAAAAAGCTCGTCAAGGAGAAGGTCCGGCCGGCGTTCCGTCGCGTCGTCCAGGAGCGCGATGCAGCGAAAGCTGCGCTCGCGCACAAGACGGGCGAGTTGGCGTCGACGCAAGAGCAGCTGAAGACCGCGCACGGGGACCTCCGTGCGAAGGGGCGCGAGATTCAGCGCGTCCAGGAGGAGCTCGCGGAGGCCAGGACGGCGCAGACGTGGGCGCGCCGGTTGGCGTTCGAGGAGGGCCGGAGCGCGGCGGCAACGGAGCTGGGGGTGGAGCGGGGGAGGCGCGAGACGCTCAAGGAGACGTTGGACTGGGAGCGCGTCGAGGGGGAGAAGCGGAAAGCGGCGGCGCAGGCGCGCCGCGAGGCAGGCGGCAAAGACAGCGGCAAGGGAGTTGACGAGGACGGCGGCAAGGAGACCGGCCAGGACCGCGGCAAGTGGCAGGAAAAGGGCAGCGGCAAGGGGAAGGAAAAGGACGGCGGGAAGGGAGAGGACAAGGGCGGCGGGAAGGGGAAGGACAAGTACGGCGGGAAGAAGTCGTGAGACCGCCGGGTCGGCGCCCCGCGGGGCGGCGCGAAATCTAAGGAGGGGTTGAGGCAAGGGCGGTCGACGAATTGTGTCGCTTTTTTTGTTATTGATTTCCTATGGATTTTCCATTATTCGTATTGTTGTCTTATGGATTTCCTATGGATGTTCAACGACGCCTATGGTTTTCCTACGGGTGTCCTATGGATGTTCAACGATTCCTATGGTTTTCCTTGTGATTTCTAACGATTCCTATGGTCTTCCTGTTGATTTCCTGAGGAGTTTCAACGATTCCCTTTTGTTCCGATTGATTTATTGTGGATGTTTAACGATTCCTATGGTTGCCCTATGATTTCTTAATTTGTGTTCACAAATAGACGGCGGTTGGGAAAAGAATGGACGGCGGAAAGGCCACCGAGCGACATGCGGGCGCAGGTGCCCGCATGTCGCTGGGGGTTGTTGTAAGCATAGTGGTACTTGCTTATCAAATCACATCACACTTTTGTGTTTCTTGTTGTTGGGGCGTTATTTTCTTCATCAGGGTTGCATTGTTGTTTCTGTTGTCACGCACATATGATCCTCCATCCTCCTTCCCGTCCTCCTCCTCGTCCTCCTCGTCCTACTCCTCCTCCTCTGCCTCCGCCTCCTCCTCCGCCTCCGCTTCCGCCTCCGCCTCCTCCTCCTCCTCCTCCTCCTCCTCCTCCTCCTCC